GTCGATGAGCATGCCACGTCGTCACTCGTGGCGGTCTCGAAGTCATGGATATCCCAGTAGCACTGCTGCACCTTCTGACCCATTCAATCCTTCTCGCAGTGTCACTGATCCCACTGCTTCTGATGCTGGGCCATCCCTCCTACATGCAGGAACTAGTGATCAAACCTCCCACTATGGGTACTCGACGGCACACACGTCCACACCCATTCCAGCTCCTGCTGATCATCAGACCCCAATCCTTCCAAGAAGTGAAGAAGCTTATCCACTCCAGATGGAATTGACAGAAACTCGTCGTCAGCTCCATGCATATTACTTCGTCGAGGTTCAAACACCTCAAGCTGACAATTCCCAACCGGCACTTCGCCGACTTATGGTGACGGAAGTGGATCGACACGGGGTCCATCGAAATAGGCAACCGGAGTTCTTCTTCAATGGCATCACTGGTCACATTCGTGCTGATAGAAACGGATGGATTGACTCTTGGGATCAAGCCACCCAACTAGCCAACTACTGGCGCCGTTATTTCCAACTTCCGGAAATACCCCCGGAGGGAAATTGGCATCAATATCAGCATGATGCTCCGAACAGCCCAGAATCCATACAAGGATCAGGCATGGATGATACCGATTCCATCGCCGCCAATGTTGACATTACTCCGCCACCTGTCCAGATTCACCAGCTGGCCACCATTCTCTGGAACATCCTCAACAGTGACAGAGATGCCAACATGGCCATACTCGAACGACTCGAGGACCCAGACGATGATCTGACAAGACATCCGGTCCAGATCTTCTCGGCAGCAGACCTGGCTCACCTTGCTAGTCATCTGGCAGAATCCACTCGCACCTTGTCAGATCAAGCCCTTCGAATGGAGGCAAATTCTGACATCAGCGATTGAACCTGAACATCGAGGCGTTCTGAGCTGTAGGAATAATTCAGCAGCTGACTTCTTCCCTGTATTTTGATCTTGCGTTAATCCCTACATCCAGCTTCAGGGCACCAATAAGAGCTTTGCGAACCATTCCGCAAATGGCAAAAAGTAGCCTCGCGGCAGCGAGGCGTGTGTGTGGACCATCTGAAAAGATGTAAAACTTCTATCCGTTGATTTCGTTGCACTGCTTGTTTGATTTTTGACTCTTCATGATTTATTTTCCAATTTCAATTTATCTCGCAGGGGGTGGTAGCAGGGTCCAGAGTCTACCACCAACGAAGACACTCTGGTTTCCCTGGTGATACATGGCCTGATCAGCCATGCGTACCTGCATTTCAAATTTTCGTCTATGGTGACCGGCTAAGCCAAGTACCGGCATGTCGAATTTCAAACTGGTTTTCAAACCAAACTTGTTTTCTTGCCTGTACGGTTTTCGCAATCTGAATTACTGCTGACTTCGTCAGATGGAACAGTTGCATCTAGCAAGGACGTAGAATGAATTCTTCTTCACTGTTTCTCACGCCGAGTCATCCAATTTCTCCTGTCAGGTTTAAATGAAGTGTTTTTGCACGTACGATGCATTCCACATCAGTAATTCGATAAGATGTTTCTGAGCAAGTGTGTGATGTGTGTTTGCTATGTGTCTGATGTGATGTAACATGCTGCGTGACAATACCGCTTGCCAGTCCCGCCTGTCAGGACGACACCAAACACAAATTTTCGCATCTCCGCCTGTCAGGACGACGGCAAACACAAATTTTCGCATCTCCGCTTGTCATGGCTACCCCGAACGACGTTTACACACAGCAAGTTGCCAGCACCGCCTGTCAGGACGACGCCAAACACCAATTTTCGCATCTCCCCTTGTCACGGCTACCCCATGGGACGTTTACATAACCAACTAGCCAGCAGGCGACCGCGCGCGCAGCAGCTCCTCCAGAAGGCTCTGTGTACTGCGCCTGCCACACGAACGCCAGCCGCGGGCCAGGCGGCGACCACGTGCGCAGCAGCTCCTCCAGCAGACCCTGTGTACTGCGCCTGCCATACGAACGCCAGCCGCGGGCCAGCCGGCGACCACGCGCGCAGCAACTCCTCCAGACTCTGTGTAATGCGCCTGCCACACGAACTCCAGTCGCGGGCCATGAGGGCCAGCCGGGGACCACGCGCGCAGCAGCTCCTCCAGAAGGCTCTGCATAACGCGCCTGCCGCACGAAAGTCCGCCGCGGGCCACGCGGGCCAGCCGGCGACCACGCGCGCGGCAGCTCCTCCAGACGGCGCCGTGTACTGTGCCTGCCACACGAAAGCCAGCCGCGGCCCAGCGGCGCCCACGCGCGCAGCAGCTTCGCCAGGAGGCTCTGCACTGCGCCTGCCACACGACAGCGTG